GTTAATTACTTCTTATGACCGTATTGTCCCATCCCCGCTATATCTCGATGTGTCTAAATTTATTCGAATTCACTCTCTATTAATATATCTGACAGCCCGGATGATATCAGGCGGTTAACCGAAATCTTCAACAAAATGTTTGCCGATTCTCAGGGCAAAGTAAGTCAAGCGTTTCATTTTTCTGATCTTTCGTATTTGGTCGGCTCTTCTATTGTCCGCATCTCTCTCTCTCGATTGATTGGATTGACTGGTTTTCTGATATACCCTTGTTATCAATTTATCCTCAGCTCAATATGAATAGTGGCGGTCAAGGAGTATGTGTTTCGCTGATGCTAATTGTCATTTGATTGCGCCTTAATTGCATAATAAGCAAAAAAAACCGGTTCCATGCCAGATAGAGCGCTTTCGCTGCGGCCTTGTGAAAGCGTTTTCTGGTCACACGCACTGCGGACGCAGATCAATCATTGCTCGGGCTTATTTACGTCTGTGTCATTACGAATGGTTTGACACGAACTGACATATTTTGCCTGCTTGAATTTGTCAGAATTTTTCGAATGTGAAGTCATTAGTAGCTTCGTTTATCTGGACAGCGCCCTTTCAGCCTTTTACATCGTATCTATGAGGATAATACTTATAGCGTCGCGCAAACTGAAACTGTGTATCATTACATTTGGACTTCTATTTGTACCACTATGCACTGCTCTCCTTAACACAATCTTTCGGCTATTTCTGTTTTGTTTTTCGTTCATCGATATTTGTGCAGAGTCGAATATATACTGTCCTGCTTTACGGTGCAGAGACTTGGTCATTAGGTGGCTAGGATAAATAAAAACAGGTTATCGGTGTTCTAACATTTCCGTCTACGTCGCATTGCACGAGTCTGGTGGGGAAATTGGACAAGCACTACTGAGATTAGACACCTTTGTTTTAGGCAATCGCGATCGTCCACTTGAACAAGTGGGCATATGTTGCGCTTGTCAGCAAACAATTTGCCCCGGCGCATGATGTTTACCGACAGGTAGTAGGCGGCCTATACGAATTATCTATCTTCCGCTTAAAGTTGCTCTCTACATTCCAATCTTCATTTTGCTCTTTTATCCAAATGAGTAGCCAAAAAAGCAGCCGGTTAATATTTGTAAAACCTGAAACTGTATTATTTTTGAACTCAGAGGCCGAATTACTTATACAACAGAAATATTAATCAGCGCATAAAGTAGAGCAGTAAACGAACTGATTTGTAGTGTAGGTGTATGCTAAAGCATGACTTCGCACAGTTCGTGATCGGTGATCGTGATGTCTCCCTTAGAAATATAGTCTACTTAATGATTTGCTGATATTGATGAATTGAGAAGTGCCTCATGACAGTCTCGTCATCTCTGATCTCATCGGTACTAAGAAATTGTAATTGACGAGGATTATTCTTATCTTGGACCGTCAGAAGAATACGTCAATACGATGAACTAAGAAAGTTTTGGTCATAAGGTTTTAATGATCTCTGAACCTTGTGTCGTTTTAACATCCCCCACGTTTTGGGAACCAAGCGTGCCTTTCATTCTCCCATTGTTGTCTTTTTGTGTAAACTCGCCAAGAATAGCTGCTGAATTCGCGGCAGCCAGAAGCAGCTCGAAGCGGTCCGTCTGATCACCTGGATTATAACCACCTGAGCTTTCTGCTTGATAACAATAAGAATAGTATTGTTAGTTACGTCCGTGATGTAATGTGAATTAATCAACTGACTGGTATTTCGCGACCCGTAGCCAGTAATATCGCCTCCTATACACATACTATCCGGATCAATGCATTCAGTCCGTGCACCACGATATACAATTGATCGCGCGTTTCACCTTTCCCCGCCAATCAGAAAGGGCGACTCGTATTTTTTGTCGACCGCAAGAGCAGATTGCATTCGATTCTAAGCCGCGTTGCGCCTACTTAATTCCACCTTTCCCAGTTTCGGATTACCAGTCCACTAATTCTCTCAATCCGCACTGTCAGATCTTTCTGCTCACGGATCAGCTCCACTTCGCGGACACTGTGCACTGGTCGGTGTTTTCAGCCTGCCTCAACTCACAATCACAACCACAATACGACACACACAATGCTAGGCAAAAAAGAAGGCGAGCTAGTTTGATTCCGCTAAACGGTTGCCTCTAATCGATTTGCTTTGCCTGGCTGCACCGCCTCCCACACTGCGCATTGCATTGTGATGTACACTGTAGTCGGCGCATGCAGATTCATTTTGGACAACTAAGGTACATTGTTACACGCACACAAGTACGATTGGCTTTTTATGCGTTGATGTTATCAAAAGTATTACTCCTACAATTTATTTTATACCATTGTCTTTTGGTTCATGGGAAGTACTTACTGGTGGGTTAATGTGTACCATTTCTTTCTAGCACTGTGCCATTTTGATGGAACGGGAGGTCAGGAACATCTGAGCTATAAAGGTGTCCCCTAGATAGACGCGTCACAGCGATGACTACCGAATAGCCTCCTCAATTAGGCCGTTGTTGGTTACGCTGATTGCTGGTTACGGTCATTTATTTGATGTTTGACACCTATTATGCGTCTTTCCCACAACACGGGTCTTCTGTTCGCTTTGTTAAGTGCTAGTAGTAACAGGCGCATAGTTACGTGTTCCCAAACTGATTTGGATATGAAGAGATCAGTGCTATCGGTGTGGATCCGTTGCTTAGCTTGCAGAGCGTGCAGCGTACAAAAGCGTAGGCCGTGTCCATGCGTGGGTTCCAATCCCACTGAGACTTCTGAACTTTTCACAATTTCAACATAAGACCCCATTCTGCCAAACAACAACCTCAATTTCCAGGTGGTGATATATATTGAGGTGTATTGGCATGAATACGAATATCTAAAAATGACCTTGTTCGACACCGTTTTGTTTGAAATGTGCTCTGAGACTATTTCGACAATTTGTATCCGCTTTCACCAAACACAATCATTTATTCACCAGAGATTTCTCTGTTGTAACGCGGACGTTTTCACTATTGTAACTATTAATATATACCTTCTTTCTCTCACCAACTCATCGCCACTTAGGTCGTCAGTTTATTCATGGATACGCTGCAGTTTTTCATCAAGGAATATAACCCCATGCTGCGCGATTGGCTGTACACCCTCCTGATTCGACTGCTCCATCGACAGAGCCACGAAGTGCTTGGCAGTCACCAAAAAGCAATTCAGGAAACCTTGTTCGTTCTCCGGTAAGTCGATGGTTGATGATAGATGGAATGATCTATCTGCCTATCAGTTACTTTTCCGCAATATTTGTCCTTACTAGCTACCTGGTGAATACTCTGATTTTTTCGGGCTGAAGGTCACAATCATTGGGGGATGGAGTATTATCGCACGGTATTTTGAAAACGGTTTGCTGATTAAAATGAAAGATTAAAACGTTTACAGATTGTTTAAAAGAATAAGGTCACCCAAATGTGTACTTATCACCTACCATTATCCTTCACTCTCTCTAAATTCTGGACTAGTACTTAAGTGCCATTTACTTCCGTCTCTGGTCTAACAATCCCATGTCCTGTGTCAAAATGTTCGCTACCTGTTCCCTAATCCTCTGCAATCATTTTGGCATCCAGCCTCTTCGCACAAAGTGATGCTTCATTTTGACAGTTGTTGTTTTTAGTGTGAAAATTGCTGATGTATGATTGATTGATTTCGGGAAAGTGATATGCCACATAAATCGTGTTTGTACATCGATAATGGTTCCACTGACTTTTTCATTGTAGATCTCATTTTCCCCTGAACATTCAATTCGGGACATGTTGTCGATTTATCATGGATAACACCCAAGCCCTAAATTCCAAAGTCAAAGTATGCCTTTTGGAATATCTGAAAGATCTAATCCTCATGATGAGTCCGGATGCAATCGCGTCTCCCACCTCCGAGATGAACCATGCCATTTCACGTATTATCAGTTGGTCTACGGAACCCAAGTCAGCTGATGTGC